TCTCCAACAATCTGTATAGGGATGTTTCCAGTAATTTACCCCCCAAACATATACTGATGTCAAAGGTGCAAAAGAGTACCACTATCAGCGTATCTATAGCTGCTAAAGGACCAAGAAGAAAAGAAAGGTTACATGTAACTGGGACTAACAAACTGTAAAATAAGACAACGAACCAGCAAACTAAGATGATATTGCCTGAAAATTCACAATAGATATGCCCATGTCACATTGAAAGATATCCATGTGTGCCTATGGAAAAATCTTTCAAGAGTGACCAAATTAGCTGCAAGGGGATTTTCAGGTTTGGTTACATGAAACTATAGACTTTGGTATCCATGAGTGCTTCCACAACTGACAATGGGTTTATGTTAGCGTGCAAAATGACACAGTAATAACTCCGTAGTAGTTATAATGTTGGCATCAGGGAACTTGTAAAAATGAACACAACTGTCCCTGCATCTGAATTTGATAAAGCAAATTTCCAGTCACAGAACAATTAATTTGACACACCATAGTCTAAGATACAGATGGGGGGAAAACTCATTTCTCAAACAGCATGTGCTCTCCCTCCCTTCCCTCCCTCCCTCTCTCTCCATGGCATCCAGAAAAGAGAACCCGCACCAGAACAATACATCCACAACAACAAAATCCCACCTACAGCAATTCTTTGTACCATGCCTTGTGCCTCTATTTATTATTTTCACTTGAAAAAGATAATGGATATTACAATGAAAATTGACAAATAAGTTAATCTGATCCTAATGCTAGGAATACCTGTAATATTGTCTCAGCAATAATAAGAATCTCCTTAGGATCATGTAATGTGATTCTGCGGAAAGTTACAGAATGAGAGAACCTATAGTAGCTAGAGAAGATTCAGTAGCTAATCCAGTGCCAAATGAATAGTCCCCCTATATATGCACAACAATTGCTATTACTCAGAAAGTCAGAATCTCATCTAGTTTCCATGCATTCCCAAGAAAGAAATCTATCTACCTTTTTTTCCAAAAGTTATAACTTAGCCACCGTTCTGCAATAACATCCCTATGCCCTCAACTTAGTCCACTAGACGATTATATAATTGTTCTTCATTAATTAATAGTCCTAAAAAACATATAAAGGGTTAAAATTAGCATGCAAATCGAGTAAGAAAAATGGTCTTGATCATCTTTGAGGAACCTCCACAGAAGAAGTTCCACAAACTTTCCTGATTATCAATTTTCAATATAATATCAAACTTTTTAAAATAAGTGCATATGCCACGATAAGGCAACTTTGACAAGGAGCATGTCTGGAAACAGAACCTAGAAGACCAGTCAGCAGGTTGAGAATACAGTTTGTTGGGTAAAGTTTAAGGAACATAAATAAATTATATTTCAATCAAGAAAAAGGTTTCAACCCTATTTTTGTGTAATATGTACACATGGTTCAAGATAATTCTTACATATCACCTAAAAGGAGTAAAATATCTTATTTTCTTTTGCTAGGAACGAAGACGTTGATTATGGATAAACCATTTAGTATCAGCCATCAACCAACGTGCTAATAACTATATTCCTTCAAGATAATTTCCCCCTCACTTACAAATGACAGTACACACAAAACACAAAAGATCACATGAACCCACTCATGCACCTGGGTGCATGCACACAGAACTTCAATACCTATTCCTTGTGTGCTTTATTTCAAATTTGATGTTCACCTAAAGGGCAATATGAACAACAAAATTATCATACTGCAATCACATTTTCCAGGGAATTAGCAATGGCCAATACAAACTTAGATGCAAGCATATCTAATAGTCTATTATGGAAGTACTTTCCAGACTTGGATGCAAAAGTGACCAGTATCTAAGAAACTTTGTTCAAGATATATGTTATCCACTTTCTTGTCACAAATAATAGCATCAATGTAGGAGTAGCTTCTCTTCGCTGAATTTGACTTATCATTTGAATGTCTCCCTTTGTTTTCCACCCTTAAAAATTCCCTAAACAAACAGGTTGTGCGGCAAAATCCCTCTTTTAGGTCTCAATATGAAAATCCTTATCATCAGTTTCCTTTCTTTTTGGCCGGACTCCTCTAAGGAATCAAAGTTGGTATGGAGTTGGGATAACGATAGGCTAATATTCATACCTACAATCATTTACACAAGCAAGTTCAGATGTACTTCTTACTTGAACTGACACTTGGTTCCACCAATAATGCCAACATTTGAGCTTGGTAAAAGTAACCAGAATTACCATTTATTGTTGTTTTATGTATTATAGACATCTGTTGAACTGTACGCTACAAGAAAATAAGGAGGCGTCCATGACTGTCTTTCCTTAAGTGCTCAATACAAGTGAACATTGAATTAGTGATCATACATACACCTCGCTTTCAATCAAAGAATTGAGTCCACTTATTTATAGAGACAGTCCGTACGCCTCTCTATAAACCAGAAAACTCTATACCAGTTACTTACATGGAAGAATATGAGTCTGAAACAAGAAAGGAGCTCTACTCCTGAAGAAAGGAATTAGACAAAGATAAGCGAACACAAACATTTGCTGGCTCAGCAAAGGGGAAGATCATGCTCCACTTCTACGAGATGGAAATAAAAAACCATAATATGTAATATACATGAGAGAGCATAGTTTGGCTAAGTATTAGGCCGAAATGACGCAACAGTCCGCAAACCTACGCATACAAAAAAAAAGTTACATATTGAACTATACCATGTACAATAACAAAAGTAATAAGGTTTCTAGTCATGTTTGATTTTTCAAATTTTTGTGCAGCAGGTTGCCATTATGTGTTGTAATAAGAATGAGTAATTTGAAGAACAGTTTCCTTAGTATTAATTTAGTTCCCAATTGCAGGATATATGGCACGAGAATTCAGCCCGATGTCTATGAAATTAAACATGAAATAGCCTAAAACTTGAAGAACAAATTCTTCTTTTTTAAAGGAAATTTCTAAAGCAAAACTGTAGCGCACTAATAGACTCCACCATTTGCTGACCAACATAATCATTCTATAAATTTGCGTTCATCATAATTCATAGAGAGCATGCGTAGAACAAACAAAATAATTACCACCTCTGTCAGAAACCTAGAAAAAATATCCTTAAAAGCCAGTTGTTAAATCCATCTACTGCATGTTGAACTAAGTGGACCATAACCCGTGTTTTGTCAGTCCCTCCCCCATGAAGATTGGCTTCGCGCTAGTCTAGTCCCAGCCAAACATTGTACTAAACTAGCTGCAGGTGAGCACTGCAATATCAACATGAGATTGATCCTCTAGCAAATCTAATAGAACTCACCACTAAAAAAAACTACTTATTAAAGAGACCTTAATAATTTCAATCAACTGAACCTTAATAATTTCAATAAAACCCCATTTTCAATCAACTGAACCTTAATAATTTCAATAAGCAAACTAACTCATAATATTATCATCAGACAGCATATAATCTCAGAACATCATTATTCCCTCACCCCGAATCCAAGAAACAAACTTTAAGCGTTTCCCCTAACGGGTATCACAAAAACAGCATCAAAATCACTGCTTTTTACCGCATCCATCAGTCGACGCTGATCTCCATGATGCTCTTCACCTTGGAAGAGTACATAGAGTAGACCGCCGCTTGCCTCTCCGCCGCCTGAAGCTGAGCCCTGCCATCGTCAAAGGCGGAAGAGATGAGAGAAGAGTCGGAGAGGGATCGATTGGAGCGGAAACCGTCGATGGTTCTTCGTTTTGAGTAGGATCTTATGTTGTAATCGGAGAATTTAGAGGAGGTCCGGAGGAGAGAGCGGAAGAGAGAGAGGATTTGGGCGCGGGACGGAGAAGATGAGAGGGGAGTCGCCATGGCTCGAGAGGGCGACGGAGTTGCCAGCTATGTGCAGCGGTCGGTGTGAGATAGATGCTACCCTGTAGATTTTACCAATGAATGCTGCGGCTGAACAGCACTAAATTTTTCAGAGCTTTGCTATAGGTACCCAAAATATGGCACCAATAGAAGGGACAAGTGAGGTGTCTTCCTCCTATTGGATAATAAGTTGGCCATCAATGATAACCAACTTATTATCCAATAGGAGGAAGACACCTCATTTGTCCCTTCTATTGGTCCTATATTTTGGGTCCTTGGAGAATTTTTTAATTTTTCAATAATTTATCCGACTTCACCCTTACTTCCCTCCTTTTGCGCCAGCTTGTACGCCCTGTAAGGCTGTAATTTGTTTCACTACACACCGCCTGATTCTGGGTAACCTGTACCCTAGGGTTGTCAAATGAGTGGTTTTCATTGGGTTTTGGTTGGGTCATAAATGTGCAGGCACATTTATGACCACTTGACTATTTATGACTCATTTAGCATTTACTAAATGGGTCACTTCTCATGGGTGACCCAATAACTCATTTAGTTATGATGTTTTTATATACTAGTGTGAACACCGTGCAAAGCACGTCATATTTTTTTTCCCAGCTACAGTAATCCCGGTTTAACTGTTAATTTTTAAAAAAAAATTATTGCTACAGTATCCCGCATCTGCTGCAGTATTCCGGTGTGCTACAGTAATGTTTTTCAAAAAATCCAATGTCCAGTTCCATGCTTGCTACAGTAATAAATGATACAGTAAATGTTACTGTAGTATGAATAGTGAATCTTGGGTTCTCCCATTTGTATAGAGGAGTAGATATGTAAGTTTCAAGGATCTACTTGCAAACTTTCAGAGGGTTTTCTGTAAACTTTTAGGGGGTTTTCTGTAAACTTTCAGAGGGTTTTTGGTAAACTATCAGGTAGTTTTCTGCAAACTTTTAAGGGGTTTTCTGCAAACTTCTGGGGGGTTCTGTAAACTTGCAAGGGGGTTTTTGGTAAACTTTTAGGTGGTTTTCTATAAACTTTTAGGGGGTTTTCTGCAGACATTATGGGGATTTTCTGCAAACTTTTCGGGGGTTTTTAAAACTGAGACACATACAAGAAATAAATGAAGAATTGGCCTATTTTTACAAGTTTCTTATCCTAATAAAAACTTTGTTGTTATTATGAATAGAAAACATATGTCCTTTCATATATGACATTATATGTAGAAGACCAAGAAGGCTAAAACTTTGAAAGAAAAGAACAAAGAAACCAATACATTAGCTACAAACAAAAGCTTCAACACATTCCCTATGATTTCAGTTTCTGCTTGTCTAACATGAACCTTCATATTTCATTTTGCTTCACTTGTATTTCTATTCTGGTCAATCTCCATGCTTTGATCCCCAATTCTCGAATATCGAAGAAAAAAGAAAGCATAATGTCTTAATCATGGCCTCCGAATTGTCTGTAATAAGCCATTGAATAGAGCAGGACGTGTCAGTATTCAAACTTACCTAGTACAGTTTCAACTACCAAGAAATATGCTACGTAATATAATACACAATTTAAAAGATAAATATGAATTAGTCCTCAAATGGAAGCATTAAAAAAATTGAATACTGATCGTATTGTGAGCATCATTTTATACGGAGATCAGATAAGATTGGGTTGCTATATTATGCATATTGTAAGATTTTTTTTCTAAGTTTTGGAGATGTAAACAGTCTTTCTTGCACTTGACAGTTATCTCCTTTACAAAAGCTGACCCAAAATTTATGTAGCATCAGTGTATCAATTTAGCATTTGTTAGTAGCACAGAAGAAAAGGCAGTGTCAGAAATCAACAGCATGTGAAACTAAGAGCAAGAGATGTCAGTTTACACAGGGCAGAAATATTTATGTATGGATTTTTGAATTTGTTAAAAAAAATATCCTTCATAGAGAAGATATGACGTTTCTCTATGTAGATAAATCGAAAGACTTAAAATTGCATCATTCATGCGTATAAAGACATTAATTATTCTTTATTCTATCTATGGCAATAGAATTTATTATCATGTCGCTAGGTCATGCCCTGGTAATGAATGTTGTTTCTTATAGCAAAACTTATCATCTTTCATCTTTTTATAGAATTTTCACATAGTTTGTCATCCAAAAATGAAATAAGGTCGCAAGCAAATCTTTAGACTAGTAGGATTAGTTTATGAAACTTTAAAGAGTTGTTAATGCAGGGAGGAAAATTACAGCTTTGCAACAAAAATAAAAAGGTAAAAGGAGCTCAGAAATCTTACAAATGCAATCTACAACTTCCCATCAAAAGTTAGCATTACGAGCCAAGAAAAATTTTTTGCATCAAATTTTAAATCAAATCAAGTTTTAGCAAGTTACCTTCAGCTGAAGAAAACACAATGCACTTCCAACTACTATGCCTAAATCAAATCAAGTTTTAGCAAGTTACCTTCAGCTGAAGAAAACACAATGCACTTCCAACTACTATGCCTTGACTATTTTACTCACTTACCAACCGAAAACACAATGCACTTCCAACTACTATGCCTTGACTATTTTACTCACTTACCAACCCTCATCAACGCGAGTAGCAAGAACGTTTACTCCTCCATCCCCAACTTTCAGCAGCCCCTGCAAGCAAGTGATATATACATATGTCTCAGTTAATTACTACACTCGAACAAGTTTTTGTTAGCTAGTCTTCTATCGAATGAGTCTAAATTTGAGGGGAAATATCAGTCTAACAAAAATGAGCGTTGTGATGCTTTAAATACCAGCACTAAATTCTGGCTTCAAGAACTTTGCTATTTTTTCAGCCCTTCCTCATTCTTCGGTTGATGGACAAAATGTAAAATTTGAATCGATTACCTTCAATTACTCAAATGCCCGACGAAAAGGTAAAACACTCTCCAACATTAAAAAGGTGGAATTTTACCTATTGGACACATCTTGCTGAATTTTCTTTGCACTAACTGAACAAGTTTGTTTGATACACTCTGCAAATTTTTTCTTCCTTCTAGGGGGACTCTTTACATATTTAATGCATTCTCTAAACTTGGATAAAGATTTATCAATTATTTTTAAACCATCTTGTACAACAAGATTTAAAATGTGAGCACAACATCGTACATGCAAAAATTCACCATTAGAGACAAAATTCTCCTTTAAAGCAGGATGTGTTTGGAATTTAACGCCTAAATCCCTAATGCAACAGAAACGCAGAATAGAAAAAGTACACAAAATATAATGAGGTTCGGCAACTGCCTACGTCCTCGGGAGCCACACAGTCAATTTCTTATTAATCAAACAAGAAATTACAAATCAAGAGCAAATCCCAAAACTGAGATTTCTCAAATGAACACTGTAGCTACAGTGTTAATAATTAAAGGGAAAAATCCCTTTTAAATCTCTCTTGAGAATAAATGAAGTCCCACAATAAAAACCCCTCTTTAATGATCTCTCTCTCTTCTTAAATCTCTTTTTAAATCTCCCCACAAAGTTCTGTTGAGAGCTGGAGATGTGAAAATCGCTGCTGCGATTTTAGGGCAGTCCGCCGCAGCTTGGACGCAAGGGTCAGGATTTTCAGCCGCGAGCGTCCGCTTAGACGCCAAGGTCGGAATCCCCAAACGCGAGGGTCGGGGTGCTGGCATGCGGAGCTCGAGCTTCACCTGAAGCTTTCGCCGTCGACTTCCACGCTCATCTGCGTGGTTCCTCAAGCTCGCCGGAGCTTCGTCGCCGACAGGAGGTTGGTATCCACCCCCTAAACTAACAGGATGGTCTTTCAAAAAATTTATAAAAGCATCATTATATGATTCATTATCCAATGTAACAGTGAAAATTTCTTTTTCTATGCCTCACTCCTTCAGTAAATGAAATAGCTTCTCTACTAAAATTGTCCCACTATATGGGGGTGAAACATGAGACAAAGCTAATATTTTGTTTTGCAAGATCCTTTGCTCATCAATGTAATGTGCAGTAAGAGACATGTAGTAATCTGATGTTGAAGAGGTCCACAAGTCTGTATTTAGACCGATTCTGCTAGGAACTAGCTTCAAAGTTTGTTTAAGAAATTTTTTTCATTTCTTGTACAACTTAAGCAAATCAGCTTTAGTGGTGTTCCTCGAGATATGCTTGACTTCAGGATTTAAAAATATCTATAATTCGCATATCCCTCGATGTTCTACAAAACAGATTGAATAACCATGCAATGTAATGATCCTAGTCAACATTTCTCTGTAATTATCTTGATCTAATGGCATAGTTTTCCACGATGAATCAACCACATCTATATACTGTTTTGGGCAAGAATGAATATGCCTCAACATATTTGTGGTACCATGACCACTAACATAAACTTGGTCATATTTCTTGCACTGAACTTTAGCTTTCCTATCACTATCAACAGACAACTCAGTAAAATACACCCAAACTTTTGATTTTGCTCTTTTTTTTTTACTTTTAGATATAGTTTCATTATCAGATTCACTACCATCATCCCATGCAGTAAATTCATTCAAAAACATGAATGAATGATTCTGCTAATGATAACTGGGGACAAAAAAAATTGCAGGTAAGAAATCTACGTGCTAAAAATAGCAACGAGAAAATAATAATAGTAATAACAATTGGTGAATTTTTTACCTTCTCGATTGAGAACCGGTGGGCTTGCTGAAGTCAACTTTTCTGAGTTACTACTACAATAAATAAAAAAAATATTAGCCACCATAATCATGCAAAGATTTGTGGTGAGATCAGTTACAACTTATAAGCTTATAATTAAGCTTAATCTTGAGTTTAGAAAAGGGTAGCTAATAAGTTCAAGCTTTAATGACGATTATGCTACCTCCTACATTTAATCATTTGAAATGATCAAATAACAACACAGAAATGAAATCTGAAAAAAAAAATTAAATTTAAAATAACACAAAAAATGAACGATATCGTGTGAAAATATGTAGAAAATCTCTATTGTAATTGTTGGATAGTATTATCAAAAAGAAAAAAGTGGATTTATATGCAATTCTTGGAGATGGAGTTGATGCCTATGAAGTAGTAAAAAAGAAAACACTAAAATTAGCTTTTATATTTATGTTGTTTTTAGCATTTTTAAGAATAATTGATAACTCATTAAAATATAATAAGTACTAAATATGGATTTAAACACAATATTGACATTGTTTCTCAGACATACACATTGATGATCTCTCCCATTAGATAAAAATTCATGACTAAAGAAATTCCTGACAATAAAAATAAACCATGTAAAAAACCAAGGCTTTTCCCAATTCATATCGAACCCTAATCAACCAAAACTAACCCTAAACTTAACAATCGCTCAATCAATCACCGATATCGTTCCTTATCAAACATTAAATCACATTTAGAAATAATTAGATCAAAAAGCAGAATCAAAACTTACCTACTTAGCCTCTTGATTGGCTCCGAATTTGTTTTCCAAAGATGCTGATTGTCTTCGTCATCGACTTAGTCAAAGGCCCTCCCCGCCGATCTGCGGTGGCACCATTGGGAAAATCCCGTAGAAGCTCAGAGAGATGAATCGCAAAGAGAGGGGAGCCGAGATTTTTAGGGTTCTGGAGAGAGGAATCACAGAGAGAGGGGAGAGGAGATTTCTATTTGTTAGCTGGGTAAGTTTGGGTGGGTTATGGGTGGGTAAAGACCCGCCCATCTAATACCCATTTAATCTCTATAGAAATAGTTACCCACCCCATTGGACCCATTAAGCTAAATGGGTTGGTTTGGATGGGTCTCATATGTTCGTGTCAGAAGTTGCCTTTTCCATTGTTTTCAAACATGTTACACCGTTTATCGATTACAAGTTCAAACTGAAAGAAAAGTTGATCTTTTTATAAGATCTTCTTATAATGAAAAATAAAGATTACAACTTTATCAAACAAAACGCAGCAGTAGTTTATCTCCCGCTGCTTTGTGTGGGATCTTTGCCTGTGCCGGGGACGCGTTAGTCCGTGGACCGCCGCAGATCAATTCCGATCGACAGTATAACTACGCTCTTGTTTCACGAAGGAAACAATTGCGGAAGCGACAATCACGACCAAGCGAGATTGTGGCTCTTCTCGAGATTAAAACCAAGTTTAATCCGGAGGAAAGAAGAGAAAGAATCACAAACCTTTCGAAGGGGGCTTTCTTTATGAAAGTGTTCGCCAAGATCTGATGATTCTCCTCTGAAATTCGTGGTTAGCTGGACAATTTGATAGCACCTTGCCTTCTTAATCTCAAATCCTCTTGAAAGAAGACCCACTACAACAAATTGCATTTTTCCCGACGCTTATTCCCGACGCATGTTTAAATACGTCGCCAAAAATTGGGTTTTTCCCGACGATTTTAGTTAGCGTCGGCAAAACATATATTTTGTTTAAATACGTCGCCAAAAATTGGGTTTTTCCCGACGATTTTAGTTAGCGTCGGCAAAACATATATTTTTCCCCACGTTTTTAATTAGCGTTGCTAAAAATGTATATTATTAGCGACGTTTTAACTTAGCGTCGGTAAAAGTGTATGGATTTCCTGATGTTTTTGATTTTCGTCGGCAAAAATATATATTTTTAGCGACGTTTTAGGCCTGGCGTCGCTAATAGTGTGCATATATCGCGACGTGTAGAAAAACGTCGCTAAAAGTCTATTTTTAACGACGCTGTTACTCATCTGCGTCGCCAAAACCTTTGGAGGGATATTTCCCTCGCTTATTTTCACGAAAAAAAAGTAAAAAAACAAAACCCCCCGTCCCCCGTTCTTTCTCTCTCGTCAGAAATCCCAAAATCCCCAAATCCCCCATCGGAGTTCGTGGTTGCCCCCAAATCCCACTCTCCTCCTTCAACCGGAATAAATCCAGATGCAAACCCCCCCATCAAGGACACATCCTCTCCTCTCCTCGCCCCCGCTCCTCTCGCCTAGGGTTAGGGTTCCCCCCTTTCCGCGCCGCCGCCGCCGCCTCCTCCTCGGCCTCCGAACCCGCCACCACTCGATCCGAAGGCACGGTCGAAGAACTACTCACCAAAGGCGACCAAATCGATCGCCTGATGAAAATGGAGCGGAGATCCGAACCCGATAGCGGGTTGAGCAACGGCCGCTGGTTTCCTTATCTGGATGTTTACATGGCGGGAACAATTGAGCTGGGCAGCGGTGAAGTGATCTAAGCTATGGATCCTTACATAATGGATGGGAGAAAGGAGAGGATCCGGAGAGCCGTGGAGAACCGGAGCTATTCCGTGTGTTTGGTGGTTGAGGGGTTGACTGATTTCGGCAACGTTTCGGCGGCGTTTCGGTCGGCAAGAAAAGGTGCTGCTAAATTTGAGGTGAAAAAATTACACCTTTCTTCAATTCTCTGTTAAAGTTGGTACTTCTTGTGCAATTCTGGCATATTATTTGGAAAAAAAGGCGAAAATGTAAAGAATTCGGGTATTTTTTTAATCTGCTCACATCAATAACCATAATCAATAAAATTCAAATAATGACAATCCCCATCCAAGATACCGGCACAACATTAATATCAAGTCTTTGGACAGTAATATTAACTTGTAAGTGATACCTTGTTGCAATGATCAAACATTGACAATAACTCATGTCAAATAATGAAACTATCTTTGGATCGATTCATTATTCACATGTAAACCTTATAATTGTCACACGCTTATCATCGCAGATGTGTATACAGTCTAAATAAATATTAACCTTCCTTTGGGCCGATTAAATATTTACACGAAAGCATACACACAAACATCTCACATTCCTCATGAACAATCTACACAAGAGAGGTTACTTTGGCAACTTCTTGTTTCAATTAATCAATTGGAGTGAGAGACAACCTTAATACCTTAGTGTCATAATATTTGAATTAAATAATTGATTAAAAACCGAATTAGATTTAAATTAAAAATTTTTAATTTAAATCAACTGAATTTCCAAAAAAACTTAATTGGGGTCTTACAGCTTAATTAGGGCCCATAACTTAATTGAATAAATTAAGTATACCAAAGTGGACCCATGAAAAACCGAGACTTAACCATAATGAACACGAAGTTCCCTTAACTTCGAACGCGCGAGGTTCGTTTGATAAAAGAACGCGAGGTTCAACTTGGGAACGAACGCGAGGTTCGTTTAAAAAATGAAACGCGAGGTTCAACTGAAGTACGAACGCGAGGTTCGTCTGAAGTACGAACGCGAGGTTCGTCTGAAGAACGAACGCGAGGTTCGTTAAAAAATTGAGCTTGACGCTCACCTGAGTTGAACGCGAGGTTCACCTTAGAACGAACGCGAGGTTCGTTAAAATTGAGCTTGACGCTCACCTGAGTTGAACGCGAGGTTCACCTTAGAACGAACGCGAGGTTCGTTAAAATTGAGCTTGACGCTCACCTGAGTTGAACGCGAGGTTCACCTTAGAACGAACGCGAGGTTCGTTAAAATTGAGCTTGACGCTCACCTGAGTTGAACGCGAGGTTCACCTTAGAACGAACGCGAGGTTCGTTAAAATTGAGCTTGACGCTCACCTGAGTTGAACGCGAGGTTCACCTTAGAACGAACGCGAGGTTCGTTGAGCGCGAAGCTCGGTTAAAATTGAACGAACGCGAGGTTCGACCTCCTTAAAGTTCGCCACGTTTTCACGCATGAACCCTTAGGGTTTCAAATTGAAACCGCCGCCGACAAACCCAAAAAAAACCTTTGATTTTTATTTTCAAAACAGATCCAGAATTGGAAAAAATTTAAGAAAAAATCAAAGAAAAAATCAAAGAAAAATCCAAAAAATTCCAAAAAGTTACTGTCCGGCGATTTTTCAGTTACTGTTCATCCGAACAAAAACTTCACTGTTCATCCGAAAATTTTCGTTACTGTTCATCCGAACCCAAAAAATTGAATCTTTAACCAGAGATTTAAGATCAAAAATCCAATAAAACTTAAATCCCTAAGAATTAATCAAGGTGGCTCTGATACCACTTGTTAGATCTAATCAAAACTTGAGATCTAAAACCATATAGCCATGATTAATTCAAAGAGATTAACAAAATCATAAGAGCGGAAGCTTATACCTGAATCTATGGATGAACCTTGAGATGGGTTTTGGATCTTCTAACCTTAGGGTTTCTCTAAATCCGAATTTCTCTAGCTAGATGGGGGTGTAGAGAATTAGAGAATGTAACCCTAGGTTAGGGACCATAACCCCTTATTTATAGATATTGTATTTTTGTAATTTAGCCCCTCAATAAATCACAATTACAACCTGGTATCTGCACATATAACCCCATGACTTATTTAAATACCAAATTAACCCAACTTAATTGATCACTTTAGTGGGTTATCCTGAAAGATAGCAATACACATTGATTAATCATATGTGCCCACAAATAGATTTATTAGATTAAATCCAACAATTAGAACATTAAAGTTACACCCTTTTCTCACTAAATCCTTTGATTGTTTCAAATTGACAACTTTTATATCATCCATCATTAATCAGGCACTTAATCTTCGGCATTTCTTCAGCTGAATATATGACTTACTGAATCGACCAACTTCTATCTTTACTTTGATATAACCCTTTCATTAACAGCTAGCAAACTTCAGTTTACACAAGGTCCTGTTACTTTAGACTGACAATTTCTCTCCAATGCAGCTATAATCACTGAACTTCTTTATAATTTCCTTCTATTTGTCAGGTCAGTGACAAATTTTGAACTTCTCCATCATGTACTATATATATCATATCTATCTATGCTCTTCTACATCATCTCCCTGCATGCAACATCATTAAACTTCATGTAAATACGTAAATGGTAAAAACCATTGCTCATTAGAACTTTCCTTTAAGTTTTAATTAAGCTTTGTTTTTTCTTACTTTAATTTCAAGTTAACGTTGACAGAATAAAATCAGTTTTTTCTTTTCTTTTCTTTTTTTTTCCTTTTTTTTGTTTTTTCTTTTTTGGGGTGGGGGTTTGATAATTGGTTGAGAAGTGTTGATTCTGACTCGGACTTTTTCTTGGATTTAAATTTAAGGTATTATTAGTTTAGGACTAGCATTTGGATTTGAATTAAACATGTTATTGGTTTAGGATTATATTTTTGATTTGAATTTAAGGTGTTATTTTTCTTTTAGGATTGTTATTAGGACCAGGATTTTAAAATTCACACTCCATTCCAACTCTATATTTTTTTAATGAGAAATTTTCAAGTGAAAGTCCAAGTTAAAATTGGTGGATTTGTGATCTTACTCCTTGGAATTCTATCTCCTCTCCTCTTTACTTATTTAAATATTTAATACATTTCAAATTAAATATATTTAATTTTAAAATATTCTATATTTCTAAAACATTTCTCAACTTAATTAGCCTTGGCTACAAGTTTCCTATTTCCATATATGACCAAAAATAACCAGAGAGAAGTTATGTCAAGATTTTATCGCAATGTAGAGACCACTTGGCCTTTGACGAAAATAGTTGAAGATCTACTTTGGTTTCTTATTTTCTGTTGTACACGCGAAAGAATTTAAAGTGAAATTCTTGTTGATTGATCGCTGATTTTAGCCAAAAATATACACATAGAAAACATTTGAATTGCTTTTTTATTTACATGAGAAATAGAAAGGCATGATGATCTTCAAATTTCACACTTTCACTACTGTCTTGCTCTT